TTTTAATTTTAGTTCGTTAATCGGTACTGATCAGAGTAACCAGAGGGAAGCAAGTGTAGTAGATGCTGACGTAAAGGACCACCTAGAGGTTAACATCAGCACTTACATAGGCGTTAGTTCAAAATTCGTTGGCAGCTGAATTGTGACAGTACAGCTCTAGTACAGCAGGCGTGTGTTATGGGGATTTCCAGGGTTAAGGTTTCTTCCTTGACTTAAATCCTCTCATCGACTTTGAGAAGAAATGAAATATGCCACTTATTTCAAATTTCATCCAGTGAAAATACATGGCTGGAAAGTGCTGGGGTTGATTAAAGTCGTGCATCTATGTTTATCGTGCATAAACTCGGTCCACTGCAACAGATTTCTCATTATGTGGAAGCTAATGATATTGCATAATATTAAGACTCTGTTAGGGCGGACAGAACTTGAGAGAATTTCTGTGAATTCAATTCTTACTTGTGCCTTGCACTGAGGACATAGGTGACAATTCAAAAGGTTTTATAGTATGGTTTTGATAATGCACATTATATCGTCCCTTAATTCAGAAAATTTGATTGATGGTAGCCACTATGCAAAAATCACTGAAAGGACTTGGGCGACCGTTCAGAATAAGCAAATTCAAGTGGTAGACATTTGGCAGCTATTTCCACTCCAGCGGTATACATGTTATGTGGGCAACAGTGATTGACTGTTTAGGATCAGTAGGGAAACCGGTCGTTCCTGTCACTGCTATCGAAAATCAGGATGCATCTCTACTTTGCAGTAAATTTAATTCTTTGTTATCTAAACGTCCTGCTCCTTTCAATTGTGTCAAAATTAGAATCCAGAAAGATTGAGCAAATAAATATTTACTTTTCAATTAAATCCTCATCTCTAGCTCTACTCATATATATATATATATATAAATGGGGATTTTTTCTATATTGAAAACTAGAATGTCTGCTGTTATGTGCGTATGACCGATTGTTGTAAGAAAACCATCCATTTTTAAATCTGGAAAAAAGCGCATTATTGTAATCTTTAATCTGCATAGCTTGTGAAACGAAAACGTGTTCAGAAGTATACATTATTTTAGTCAGTCGGTGGATGTCATGTTTAGTTTTAGTTAAGAAGTCAACGCCGATGTAGTTGATTGCCCCGATCAACTCACTTAACAGAAGCCAATTCATTTGCACAATTGTTGGTGGGGAGTCGTCTGTAGTAAAGACTGTTGTTCATCTTATTGTGGACGTAGAAAAGGATTTGGCCCTGCCCAATCGCAGATACCTTGGACATGGTATATGTAGGTAAAAAAGTGGGCAGGTTTCCGTTTAGGGCTAAGCTATTTTCTGATATGAAAAAAGCCAATTGCTAAAAATTGGGTGATTCTCTCTTATAAGACCTGGAAAAAGTTGCATCTGAAAATTTTAGTGACCATGGGAAGAATGGAGGAAACCACGTATTTGTTATGCATTTCGCCTGCTTCTCTGTCTATCCGAATCAACCATCTACCCCACGTTTTGCCGCTTGTGGCGTGTTCATCCTCCGACTGGCTAGTTAGCATCACTATGTAATTAATTAAGTCGATATCAGCTTAGTGTCTTGCTGATTTAAGGTGTAGTGATACATTTATTTACAAAAAAAAATAAAATACTCAGCTCTGCTGTGTACTGTTTTGGTGTAATTGTGTTTGTTGACATGGACGGCTTGCCCGCGGACCAATCATTGCCTTACTAGACTGCATCCTCAGCGCATACTTCAATTCGAAATATGCTGTTAAATTCCTCCACGAGTTTATTAGGCATCTCTCCTTGTAACTTCGAACGTGATCTGTTGTTTTTCTGTTTTCTTACCCTCTAAGCTACTTGTATTGATGTTGGTTGTTTCCTTGACCTGAAGTTGAACTGTTTGTTCATGTGATTTCCTCCTCATGGATTAGTAAATCTTGTCTATGTCAGTGTGCCTATTCATTACCAATTCACTTGGATACAAGGCATCCACAAATTCTCTGGAGATTTTGGTGTCACCTCTGTCTAATATTTGAACCTTGTCCCAACTGAAGTGATGTCCGTGGTTGTCTGTATGCAGTTATATGAGCGAGTGGATATTATGTCTTTTGACGGTCAGTTTATGTTCTTGCATGCAGAGACGAAGAGGGCGTCCACTTTGGCCAATGTAGTGTTTTTCCCAATCGTTGCAATTCATTTTGGGGGTAATGTTGGCTTTATCTTCTTTCTCTGTTGAATCTTTTGTTTGACATAGAGCCGAGTGAAGTGATTTCGTTGGTTTGTATATGGGACCAATTCCTAAAGGTTTGAAGTCCTGCAGTGATTTCTGAGATGCCTTTTATACATGGTAGGGTGATTTTGTTTGTCTTTTCCTTGAGGACTTTTTATTGGGTAGGTTGAGTGCGAAGCAGATGTCTTTTGATGAAGTTCCACGGATATCCATTCTTTTGGAAGGTGTCCGTGAAATATTTTTCACCAATTTTCTTTGAGCTGGGCGTGTTGCAATGTGTCCCTGCTCTCTCAAGTTGTATTTATATACAACCCGTTTTTTGTTATACTGGGTTGTCGCTGTTGCAATTGAGTATTTGGTCTGTGTGAGTTGATTTTCTGTGTAATTAAGTTGCTAATTTTACTATAGCGTCGCTTGGGTAGGGAATTTTTTCTTCCGTACCTCTACTCATGTATTGTTGAAGATGTTGTTTAATGAAATGACCTTTTCTAAGTCGGTTCTTCCGATTATCATGAATGTGTTATCCGCGTGACGCATACAAATTTTGGGTTTGGTCTTCGGTAGGATTATGTTTTCGAGTCTTTGAATCGCGGCTCCACTAGGGACTTTTCTGCCACAGCGTCCAATTCTATCCTTACGCCACAGAGCCCACGCGAACTAGCCAGAAAACTCCCCGTTAGGTGAATTTTTCAGTCTCACCCTGCTGGCCGTGTGAATGACTACATTTTGGTTTTTTAAGTGTATCTAAAACGCAACATTCAACGATGTCAGAGTTCTGGCTAGTGATTCTCGTTGTCCGACATAGTAAAGTGTCTTGACGTTAGATGCGTCAGTATGTAGTTGACAGCATGGTTTTAAGAGATTTAGTGTTTTTCTGGTTACCATCGTGCATTTACAGTCTCAAAGTTGGGTGGCAGTGAGGAGCCATGGAGACAATGGTGGGTGATGATCGGGAGAGCGTAGTGTGGGTGGTAATTATTTCCCTTCTGTTTATAATGTGGAAGTCAATTTCTTCTTGTATTACCCGAAACACTAGGACCATTAATGTTGCGTGACCGCAGATTCCTGGAGACAGCTGCTTCAAACTGGTACACACAACATGTTTGAAGTGGCTTCTGGAGTTGTGTCCGCATTAAGATCATACCACCAACTTCAAATCACTGCAAGGTAAATTGGAATATACAATTTTCGTGGATGTGTGAGGAGAACCCTTTACAGCTGTTACATCCCCGCTCAACAACAATACTCTGTAATGTACTAGTAGTGCTATCGATTATCTACACTGCCCGCCCCTACTTGACGCAATTCACCTATTTGCCCAATGACACAGTACTCTACCTAACCTGTACTGACGACAGAACGCAAATTAAAAAGACTGGGGTATTAGGGAAAATGTGTCCAAGTACGGGGTATATATTGAGTAAGATAAAATGTGATCACCCAAGAATGAAGGTCTAGAACTTATTTAACTGACATTACCAGAGATATGTTCACCTCCTTATACACATCTCTGGTTAGGTCAAGACTGGAAAACTGCATCCAGGCCGCCAGTCCTTGTCTAAAGGGGGATTCACACATTCTAGAAAGTGTTCAAAGGAAGGCAACACGTATGGTTCACGGGATAGCTAACTTATCATACGAGGAAAGACTAGATAGTTTGAATCTCTTCTCACTGTCATACCGTAGGCAGAGAGGAGATTTAATCACAATGTTTAAAATTTTAAATAATGACTACGGACCTGACCTATTCTCTCTTTTCCTTCCCACCAGCTCGGAACACCTTAGAGGACATAGCAGGAAAGTTCAAAAGCCAAGGAGAAATCATATTGCTGTTGAGTACTGGTTCTCACATTGAGTCATAAACTCTTGGAACCGACTCCCAGAAGAAGTGGTGTCTGCAACCTCAACTGATTCGTTCAGGAAGGGTTTGGATAACCACAGAAATCTACTAGAAAAGGATTATCATAGGCTGCAAGCCTTCTATCCTCAACCAATAAATCTGAATCTGAATGTCTTTATTACAAACTCAAGGAATGGGCGTATAGACAGAACAAAAGGAAAGCGCAAAGTGGCATTGACGTCAGTTTGTGTATGTACAAACCAAAACAAAGTCTGTAACTCTGGGATGTGCATTACAGTACCTTCACCCGTCGTCCCCAAACATGGTTTAACGACCTACACTCTGCTGGCAACTGCACTCAGCCTAACCCCTATGCAAACGACGTTTCTGGCTTGATAGGACCTGCAGACAAATTAGTTCCTGTCAGTGTAGCTTGTTGGGTCATTCCAATATACAAGCACTATCACCACGTCAATGTAGCGGCTCTCAGTCGGCAAATTAATAGAGATTTTTATTGGAAGATACAGGAATCCCTGATACACACAGAACACTCACCAGTGACTCACAAAATCTTATGCGATACTCTATCTCCTACCAAACTATTTCTTGTCACTGAAGACAGCTAAGTTTTTCAGGAATTTTTGTTGTTAACTGTTGTGCCATGAAATACTTTGAAGGATTATAGAGTTATTTTGTTAAGAAACGTAAAATAATAATGAGCTTTGGTTGGTGCTGGGTGTGCGACAGCGTCAGATACCACTTAGTGTTCAGAAGTACAATTTATACCAATGTCCAATGATATAAAAGCCAATAATTTGCCGTTTTTCCCGTATATGTCTTTGTAATATAGGATGTATGTGTCTTGATCCTAGCTTGTTTTCATCATCTTTATAGGTCCCCAAACCTGTTCAGACGAATTCTTTTCATTACTGCTTAAGTCACCATGAAGACAGCTAGGAAGTCAAATAACACGGACCCTCCACCCAAAATCCCTAAACCGAATGATACCCTGCCCGCTGAAGGTGAAATCGTTAGCTGGCAAGTATGTTACTTTCTATTTTTCAGCTAGTAGCATTTAACAAGCGTGGTTTATGTTATTGGTTTTGTTAGTACACTGATTAAGATTATGACTGGTAACATTCCTAAAAAAGTGTTTTTTCATTTAACCCTATATGACACACTTCTTTTACCCATTCTGTTTTCCTTAGACTGTGATTTTACATATTTAAAGTATGGTGATCATTTGATGGGTTGAATATTAACATGTCATCACTGTGCTGCATTTGTCCAGATGAATGAAATGATTAGAACTAGGTCCTAACTATCCTCAAAATTTAAACTAAACGTCGATTAAGATGACCGTAATAGATAATAACTGACTTTTAGTATACTCGGTGAAACAAAGTTGATCCACAGATTTTTCGCCACCTAAGGATACCAGTAGATTATATTAAAGGGATAATCATCGGTGGGAATGAAGTTGACCAGATAGACTACAATTTGTCATTCAGTTCAGACCATCTTTCTCATTTAACTTGAAGATAATAACATGATGGCAGAATGCGTACATAACTGAGATATCCTCCTGAAAATACGTGCTTTCCAAGATAAAAACAAATAGTAGCAGGTGGAAAACTTTGGTGATGTACTTGGATTACTATGACGTAATAACTGCAAAACTGCGTTAACTGGCCAACTGTAACTCTTGAATTCGTGCTAGCTAGTGCCTACGTACATCCGAAACTATACTGTTTCTTTACTCTAATAACTGCGAGTACATTATGCGATGTGTTACTTCATTTATTAGAGACAGAAGTTATAAATAAAATGACAAAGAAGTATAAACAAAATTGCCAAAGTTATATATGTCCAAACCAAGTTCACTTTTAAAATGACCAAAATGACTAAATACTGTTTGTGGCGATCAAAGTAACGACCACCTACTTGGAAGTTTGTCCAGTGTGGAATCAAGCTGTAATCAAAAATAAATAAATATGTTTGTATGCAAACGCCCTAAGAACTTATGAAAGTTATACGCCTCCAGAGATAAGAGAAAGGCTAAGTCCCCTAATAGGGTAGTTGGAATGGTGATAGAAGAAAATAAATGTCCACCTATATAAAAGTGTTAAACGTTCATGATGGAAGAAAGTGATATCAGTATAAATGGTAACGAAATTTGTCATTTCTCGATTGTTCTGTGCGAATCCAAGGACCCAATTTCAAAAGTCTGTTGATAAAACAGATGTGTTAGCTCTTTTACATCCGAGCAAATTAAACTGTGGTCTAGCATCGTTAAAAGGAGAGGTTGAAATCTACTAGGATAGAGCTATTTAAGCGTCAATTCTCATATTGTGGGAGAGAAAAAGCAGGTGTCGTGCGATATTTTCGTTACCTATGTGCCTATCAGCTAGAAAATATAAATCCTCAGTCATCTTGTTGGACAATACTTATCTGGTGAATAGAAACGGACACTGCTATGGAATAATAGTGATTTTGGTGTAAATGCGTTCTCTGAATTGGATGGTCTACTTGCGGAGCATTCACTACCCTACTAGGTAACATCCTCAGCGCATACTTCAGTTTTAAACAGAATAGAATTCTCAGTATTTGTCACAATATTGCATTTAATTTACTTTAAATACAAATGAAATTAACAGGAATTTGTCCGCACTCCAGGTAGGAATGAAGTCAAAAATGTGCAAAGTATCAAGTGAGAATAACAACTGTTATGTAAAGTAATGTTAATAAAAACAGTGGGTTTGTTTCAAACAGTATTGTCGATACAGTCTAAAAAATTTAGCATGTTATGCAGTACTGAATCTAATGGTCTCTTGATATAGTACGGTGAAGGGAAAAACAAAAAATGACAACTATTACAGAGCTAAAATGATGTATACACTTAGGAGAGTATGAACAAAAACATTGAGAGGATTATGACTATAAGAAGACTAGTAACTCACTGGTTTCAACATAGAACTTTGCACCGATGTGCAGCAGTTCGAATTGCCACACCGCTTAGCACACAAAGCAAAAGAAGGAACGAAAAGAAATGCAAAATACAGACAGTAAACTGAAATAAGAGGCCAGAAGAATAGTAATATCGAAGAACAGTATAGTTTTATTGGATATCATAAGCCACAAGAAGTGCATGCATCTGCGCCACTAAAAACGATTTTGAGCCATATCACCGATTGTCTCCAGCCACTCGTGTTTACCGTCCCGAGGATCCAAACCGGTCAGGAAGTCTACACCTTCCTAAGTGACTGGCTAGCTTAAACTAGCTGTTATGGATTTCATTGACTGATGAAGCCATGTTTTGGTTTGACCACCATAGGTCCTTTTGCAATCTGATTCATCCTATGTCAGCTGACATTGCCCGTCGAGAAAGGCGATGGCTAGGAAAGCATTCGCGGCACATGTCCTAACCATCTCAATCGGTGTAAGTTCACAAGCCACACAACAAATGTAGCGTGGCGTATCTTTCTTGGTGCCATATTGTACCAAGTTTTTTGTGCGTTTAAAGAAGATGAAATAAAAATACAGTTGATTGATTTCCCCTCCTAACCTGGTCTTCGACCGATGCCTCACCTCAATATCGCTCACCTTGTTATACCACGTAACACGGGAGATAGAACGCAGATACCTATGATCAAAGACAGCTAGCCCGGCTTTCCATGTCTTCCACTTCCAATGGCCATGGCTCACAGCGAGCCATAAAGGAGGATGGAGCAGACTGATGAGCAGTACACCCGTCCTCTGATCGATAGCCATCCGTCTATCACGTCTATGTTAGAGACAGCGTAAACTGGCATATGCTAAACTAGCCCTCTGTATCCGTACTGAGTTTTCGTCAGAGATCAACCCGTTGGTGCTGTTGGTACTTCCCAAATAAGTGAAATGGTAAACACACTCTACCACTTCACTCCCTATTTCTAAACTAAAAGTCAGTGCAGTCCAGACTAGTCCTGTAACATCATCTTACATTTGGCGGCATCGAATCGCATGCGAAACATTCGTAGACTGCAGCTCACGGTGTTCAGAAGACTGCATTTTTTCAGTGTCTTCACCCAGGTGGGAGGACAATATCATCTGCATATTCTAAGTCAACGAGATTATTCGCAAACGGTAACAAGTCAATCTCTGAGTCGTTGGATTCAGTTAGGGTTAAGTTCATTATTACACCTATGATGAAATTGAATAGAAATGGGGATAGCGAGCATCCCTGACAGACACCACTAGTTGTCAACAGTTCAGATGACAAATCACCGTAAGCTCTCACTTGGCTGTATGAGTTCGAGGGGAGTACTTTGATCAGTGCAATGTATTTGCTCGGTATTCTCTTAACAGCCCAGCATCGCCAGAGTACCTCTCTGTCGGAAGAATCCAATATCACCATTTTTCCCTATAGTTCATCCGAACTACAGTCGGTGGTAGCGTCAGTGGAGACCAGGAAAATACGAGGATGAGTGGCGCTACTCTTCCTTCTCCTAACCGACGCCTTCACACGAACTGCACACATACGACTATCTACTGGGATCCACCTGAGAAGGGATTCTTCCGCCCTTACACTCAATGCTATCCCTACACCTGTGAGTCCTCGCGAACTAGCTGAGGAGTCTCCTGACACCCTCAAAGTGATTTCCGCACATTCACCTTGTTGATTGGCTGGTCCAAGTCAATAACCACACTAGGGTCTTGTATGTCTGACTCCGAAGCACAACATACATCCATGGCTCGAGATGTCAGAGTTCTTGCTAGTGATGCCTGTTGTCCGATTCGGAAGAGGGTCCTGACGTCAAATGCTCCTATAAGAAGTTGGCGATGTGGCTTTAAGAGGATGTCAGGGGTGAAGTGAAGATGACTCACTAGCCTGAAGAATAGCGCTAACTGTAGTAGGGGAGTAAGATGTTGAAGGTGATGTGGGTAGAGGAGAATGATGCTCAGGGAGCCTTCGTGTGCTGTTGGAAGTGTGTGGGCGGTTGTTACTTCCCGGCTGCCCACACCGTACCTGAGACAGAAAGAGGGTAGTGTTGCGTGACCTCATAGCCCATGGGACAGATGCTTGACGCCGGTCACATATGGCCTGTATGAACTGGTTTCTTGGTTTGCAACCGTATTAGTAAACTTGCTGCCGCTTACGGACAACTGTAGGGTTAGTCGGGATGTACATTTGTTGGGGTCGACCTTTTCTAACCCTGTGTCTCCAGAGTGGAGAGACAGCTGGCAATCCGGTGATCTGAGGAAAACACCTTTCTGCTTTTAAACCCCTGTTCCCCAGAAGTACGACTTCGCCCACAGACCCCCAGCATAGTGTAAAAAACAAGAATTCTTACACTATATCAGTAACTGCTTTTAGTTGAATTGCTATCCTGACAACCTTCCTGGCATGGTAGGACCTGCAGGGACATTTGTTTTAGCCAGTGTACCTTGTTGGGTCACTGCAGTATGCAAGCCACACCACAACGTTAGGGTAGCAGCTTTGTGGAATAAAGATTGAGAAAATGGTTCATTTACTAGTTCATCCCTGACGCTTTACATCACATAAACTACTTTCCAAATATAGTATTGTGGAATTTTAATACCTAGACTTGCACACATGAAGCATTTTAAAATGACTTCTTGTTTAACCTGAGGAGACACAGGGTGAAATTTCGGGCAGAATGGATGCTCACAGTTTGAAAAAATCCCTTGAGCAAATTTGTTACTTGAAACCGAGTGCCTATCAGTGATGATGTAAATGATATGGCCTGATAGAATACCACTCGCCCTACTGACCGTCTTCAGAGTCCTGCGATTTATGGTATAGTCTTTTCAAGCAACCCAGGGAAGAATGAGGGGGAACAATAAAGACGAATCGATAAGATGCACGAGTTGACAAATTGAAAGGAGAGGTTGAGTTATGTCTGAGAACTTAAACTTCGTGATGCGGAAAGTCAGACGAAATCGCTAATACACGCGAAGACCAGGACAGGTCAGAATTAAGATCTAATCGAAAATACTTAACGTTAAAGTTGATTTCTATATCACTATCATCAATTTTACAACGACCAAGGGAATCAACAGCCTAACTTAACTTTCTTTTACATCGGAAACTGAAATTAACAGTCTGACATTGGAAAACACTTATTCCAAGACCATTTGCTGACTCCACCAACAACAACACGTCCATTACTGCTTGTGGACACCAACCCTCCAACGAAGGCTGAATTACTGAATATGATCAAGCTACTGAAGTCCGAGAAGATTTGTGAATATCTATTTTCTTTTTGGAGACGTGCTTAAGATATTTTTCTTCAGTTTTGCTTCATCAAACATCTACCTCCAACCCAACCTACCCAATCAAAAGTCCTCAAGGAAAAGACAAACAAAATCACCCTACCATGTATAAAAGGCATCTCAGAAATCACTGCAGGACTTCAAACCTTTAGGAATTGGTCCCATATACAAACCAACGAAATCACTTCACTCGGCTCTATGTCAAACAAAAGATTCAACAGAGAAAGAAGATAAAGCCAACATTACCCCCAAAATGAATTGCAACGATTGGGAAAAACACTACATTGGCCAAAGTGGACGCCCTCTTCGTCTCTGCATGCAAGAACATAAACTGACCGTCAAAAGACATAATATCCACTCGCTCATATAACTGCATACAGACAACCACGGACATCACTTCAGTTGGGACAAGGTTCAAATATTAGACAGAGGTGACACCAAAATCTCCAGAGAATTTGTGGATGCCTTGTATCCAAGTGAATTGGTAATGAATAGGCACATTGACATAGACAAGATTTACTAATCCATGAGGAGGAAATCACATGAACAAACAGTTCAACTTCAGGTCAAGGAAACAACCAACATCAATACAAGTAGCTTAGAGGGTAAGAAAACGGAAAAACAACAGATCACGTTCGAAGTTACAAGGAGAGATGCCTAATAAACTCGTGGAGGAATTTAACAGCATACTTCGAATTGAACTTTCAGATTGCCCTCCTTACTTCCTAAGTCTTATTGTGCTGAGATGATTGGTTTTTATCGCTCAATTGAGAACAACCTCTGATGCAATTTCGTTTTCCTATTTACTATATCATTTGCGTGAACTTGGTTATGTGTTTCAGCGTACCATCGTATTACGTCAATTTTTTTATGACTTTTCGTCTTCTGGTTTCAACTTCCATTTTGTCTTAAAATTTTCGTGCACCCATCAATCATTATTTAATTATTCCTATGTCGTTAATATTCATATTTGTTTTTTCACTGTGTTATATTTGTTCATTTCGACTTTGTGTACTGCTTTTATAATATGCCGAATTGAAGTGATTCACTTGCGTAACATTTATGGCATTGGTCTGTTTACCACTTGTATCTTTGTTGATCGACTGCTTGCATTATGGCATTTTTTTTAACTCAATAAAAAAATCACTCAGAAGCGTGACTTTCATACACTTCTATTAGTGAACTTAGGCCTAAAATAGTTTAAAATTAAGGTAATTCAGTCCTAGAAGCACCCAGTCATCACCTGATTAGTTTAATGACAGAGTCTGGTTCCAACATTGAAAGATAGATACTTGAATCCTAAAGGGGATATGGATTTCTCTAAGAGTGCAGAAATACCATTCTGACAGGTATTAACAGGTACCAAGCATATTTCAAGCACAGTTTGCTATTGGTGTTTATTCCTTCCGAGTATTGGATATCGAATTACGATGTAATGTTTCACTTAGTTGAATGACCACATTCTATACCTGATATAGGAATTTTGATCAATTTACGTAGGACTACACATTTGCATTGGTTAGTGTCTGGTGATGACCTGTATTATTGGCTTTGCTCTCTGTCGATGGACCCATGAAAACTATCTTTTTAAAATCCCATTATAAAACAACTTTTCATTTCACCTTCGGTCATCACTGTTAGTTTACAAATCTATGGACAAATTAGGCGGTTTTACCAGTAATTGTGAGGTTGACAGACACTAGAATTCTATAGGAATTGTTTTGTACAAGTTAAAAGGTCTATACTACAGTTAGCATAAAAAACGCCCAGGGAAAATTGATTAGAATTTCATCTTCTGATTAGTTAACTAAATGTATCATACCATATGACTCTATCACTTTTATTTGATGTCCGTATTTGATTGTGCTCACTTTTTAAGCATAGATATTGTGATTACGAAGGTATCATTGACAAATAAATCTGATAACTCTCTAAAGTAAGATTGCAATATTATTTCAAATCTTTCTGTCATTAGGCACATAAAAGTCATTGATTTATTCCAATAGTAATTGGAGGATGAAACCGGCAGATATTCTAAAGTAGCTAAATGTTTTGAAGGCATAATTTATCAAGTAGATTATACTTCATTTAGATATTTTTTCTTCCTTCTTAGAATCTACATGCAGATTTCCAGGAATTGTCTAACTGTGGAAAAGAACGTAAAAATTGTACTTATGAATCGAATAAACCGTCAGTTCTAGCAATGAAAGCTTATTGTCAACGCCTATTCGAAATGAATCGTACGACACCAACTCGAAAGTTTAATCAAACAGAGAAATATGACATGACCCACCACATTCAATCCTCCATGCCTTGTACAACTTCATCGCGGAACATGAATGTATCTGCTGGTTCAATCCCGGGACGCAAAAGAATCGCGTTAGTTAAGCTTATTTCTCAATTTTGATTGTCAGTGTATGTTTACTTATGATTGGTTGGTGTAAGGATTCGAATTATCTGGTTATAAGTTTCAATTATTTTCCGACAAACAATATTTGTCATTGCAATCAGTAATATTAATCATCATATAATAGACGTGTTTCGGCTGGGAACTTACACATCATTACCGAATTGCTTCATCTCTCTTAAAAGTAGATAAACATTACTTGTAAACTACGTTCTCCACCAACGAAGGAGTTATATAATTTGTTAGTAATTCTAGAGTTCTTTTTTTCTGTAGTGACTAATGTGTATTGTTGTCAAGTGATGCTCTCTGGTTAGATTTTAGGAACAACCACAACGTGACTTCTTATAGGTTGTATTCAGCCACAATTCCATGTAAATGTATTAGATATAACACGCAGTGATACAATATCGAAAACTGCATGACGTTTCGAGCACAATTTATTGATCATAATCCTGTCAATGTATTCACACAGATTCATAATTCACGACATATATATTTCTCCTTCCCGTGTTATTCACTGAAATTTCCCATATATCTAAAAGCACACAAAGACTTCCTGAACATCACTATTCTTTACCCCTGTCACCCTCATCATGTCGCTTCCCCACTACTGTCAGTACTATTCTTCAGGCTAGTGAGTCATCTTCACTTCACTATGTGACCACAAACAACGATAAGAGCCATAAAAACACCCCTGACATCCTCTTAAAGCCACATCGCCAACTTCTTATAGGAGCATTTGACGTCAGGACCCTCTTCCGAATCGGACAACAGGCATCACTAGCAAGAACTCTGACATCTCGAGCCATGGATGTATGTTGTGCTTCGGAGTCAGACATACAAGACCCTAGTGTGGTTATTGACTTGGACCAGCCAATCAACAAGGTGAATGTGCGGAAATCACTTTGAGGGTGTCAGGAGACTCCTCAGCTAGTTCGCGAGGACTCACAGGTGTAGGGATAGCATTGAGTGTAAGGGCGGAAGAATCCCTTCTCAGGTGGATCCCAGTAGATAGTCGTATGTGTGCAGTTCGTGTGAAGGCGTCGGTTAGGAGAAGGAAGAGTAGCGCCACTCATCCTCGTATTTTCCTGGTCTCCACTGACGCTACCACCGACTGTAGTTCGGATGAACTAAATGGTGATTTCTGCCTGAAACTGTCTAGTTTGCTGCAAACACCGAAACACTCAGATATAGTTGCTAAAGCAGGCAACTTCAGTACCCAAGTAAGGAGTTTACGTCATATTGAGAAGTGTATAGGTGGTACGTACGCAGTTTTCTGCCGATGAACCGACAACGATGATCGTCTTCTAGAGTTCTGTGCATAAAGTCATCTGTTCCTAGTCATCACTAACTTTAGGCAGAAAGAGAGACATTGTTAACCTGGCGACCTCCATCACTAGATCAGTGTTGAACTCAAATAGACCACATAGCGAAAGATGTGGAAAGGGCATCGCCGATTGGTAACACACAAGACGACTATTTAGGCCTATCAATGAAGCAGGTGATAAAAGGCAAATGATATGTGGAACAATCCCCGAGTAAAATGGGACCTTAATTAGCCTTAAGAATAGTCGACTGGAACGTTGGAAAGAACACTTTGAGGAGCAGTTTAACTGGCCTATAGACACACTCTACTTACCGAGTACCCAACATCTCCCTGTATTAATGAGAGATAAACACCAGTCCTCCGTTTCTGATCCTAACTGAGATTGCAAAAGCTGCCAGTAGTTTGAAATCAGGAAAAGCAGCAGAACCTGATGGAATGACCAGAGATATTCAAGTACGGTGGAGACAGTTTACTGTCAGTGTTAACTAAGGTGTCAGGCAGCGTCCGGTAATCAGAGGACGTCCCGTCGGGCTGGTGTAAGTCATTGATTATTCCAATGTACGAGAAGGTAGAAAAGAGAGGCATCGGTCGAGGACTAGGTAAGGAGTGGAAATCAATCGACTGGCTTGTGAACTCACACCGATTGAGATGGTTAGAACGTGTGTCGCGAATGCTTTCCTAGCCATCGCCTTCCTCGACTTGCAATGTCAGCTGACATAGGATGGATCAGGTTGGAAAAGAGCCTGTGGTGGTCAAACCAAAACATGGCTTCATCAGTCAAACAAACATACAACAGCTAGTTTAAACCAACTAGTAGAGTAGGGAGATTCCCGCTGTTTTTTATTGTTGCTATGATACTTTGTATCAGTTAAAGCGTCAATCTTTTAAATCTTTCTAAGTTATTTCGAAATCATTATTAGTTAATATTTTATTCCACTGCTTCGAACTTAACTGCTGAATGTATATCATGCCTCTTTGACTTATCAGAAATCGGTGTCTTGCTTTGGTTTATTCAAACTTGAATTTGTGCTATATAGACAACATATATGTTGTCTGGAAGCTTACACGAAACATTCGCTATAATACTTAATAAATAGTCTCTACTAAATACTTCTTTAAATGATATCAAGTTGGAAATAGAGTTTACATACTAATTCGACTATCTGAAAAAGGTTCCATCAGTTTCAATGAATTTATGGTCGACAAAATGTCTTTATGAGTATACCATGTCAAGGTAACACTCGACAATGTAAATTCAGCTTATAAGTAATTGAATCCCACTGCATCTCTTGGTGTATCAAGTGAGACATTTATAAAGTCATTTATCATAATAGTATGAGTGTATGTATCATTTGTAGAATGAAAACTGAAAGCTGGCGAAAGGCAATGGAATGACAGACATTTGGGTGTGAATTGTTAACACACCGTTAAATAAAGTATCCGAATTATTTTCCATTTGCAAAGTTCATTCTACATTTGAAAGGAAGATATCGAAATCTAAATGACAACTTCAGCTGCAATAGGATACGCACCAATGACTTTTGTACAAATGTAGTTTATTTTATCGTATACTTAATAAAATTGGTCAAACATATCTCCTTCCTACCTGCTAAACATTGTTTGATATTAATTCAGCTGTCTATGCTATTTCTAAATCCATAAATTGTATATAACAAAACTGTGCTTAAAATTATTTATCAGGATGACAAGCTAATTTATCACTTAAATCGATGTCTTTCTATGTCATCATAACCTAATGTCACGTCCATTGTTGTTTCAGGTTAACAAGTACAGAACTATTTCGATTAGAACGCCAATTAGGAATGCACATACAGATGTTGACTACAAGCTTCCTGCTCACTTATGATTTTCCTGATATACATGAATCAACTACTCGACCATGTGCATCTCTTCTGAAAACTCTGGTTGCCAAGCGTCAGGCTTTTGATTCAGTCGCGCTTCAAAAGAAAGGATCCAGTGCAGTTCATTCTGTAACTAGCTTCTATTGGCGTTGTCCTACTCTAGACATGGCTGTTGATTTGATTTCTGATTACGCTGGACTGTCTATGCTTCCTCTTTTACCATGGAATCCTTATAAGCAGAAAGCAGGACATGCCGTGACTAAATCGCAATCATTTGCCTTCCCGATTCCATACTGTTTATTGGAAATAATGATCAACAGTCCTATTTGGTCTTATGCTTATTTAATGCCTACCGTTTTGGGACCTCATCCAAAAAGTCATATTCGGTTGATGTTTCATCCATCAGAAGATGCTTTGGTGATAATGGGACTGGCAGATTTTTCAGGTGCTTTAAGCCATTATCGCAGAATTCTTGAATCTAAAATGTTTAGTCAACATCGTTTCTCAAGAGCTTTAAATTCTCAAAATAAACAACCAGGACGTTACATTGCCTATCGTTTAATCTGTAGGCATATACTTCCACATCGTACATTTTTTCAACTGCGCTCTCGTCGAGGCAATTTGTTAGCTAATTGTGATAGCATAGATAACGCAGGAGATTCAAAACCAGTATCAGTTGCCACTCGTTATCTACTTCACCTATACAAGGAACTAAGTCAACCGGGTGAAGTAGATCTTGAAAGGATCCAAAAATATGCTAATGAAATGAGTTCTCTTGCTATTCCTTATGGTATACCACTGATTACCGCATGTTTAACTGATAGGAATCCTCAGGAACTGTTTACTTTCGAAGGACTTCCCACTGAAGTAGGCTATGAGGATGTATTAGGTTGTAATAACTTCGGCGAAAACGTAAAACGCAAGTTGGATGTACTAACTGAATTCACGCAAAATGCAAACTGTTTTTGGAAATCGCAGACAGAAAAAGCATCTCGAACTAAAGAAACAGAAACAAACTGCTTGTCAGTTTTAGACAAATCCATGATCAAATTAGAACCACCTATCCAATGTGATGTTCTCGGTCCAGATCGCCAACCTGCTATACCAGTTGATCTTAATCCTCATGGGTAAGTTATCATGTTTCGAACGATATCTATGCTTATATATATATATATATATATATATATATAAAGGTCATGGTAAAGACAAGGGTTGGACGTATTTCCTTTGAATACATAGCGTGGGCTTGAGCTAGTGCCTCAGCTATTGTCCGATACATTGATCTCATTCTTTTTGAGAGGTGTGATGAGAAGGACTTTTCAAATGGAGGTGGTTGTCCTGAATTCACAAAATGTTGTGCCACCGAACTATACACACCTTTGCGTTTTCCCTTTGGTAATCATGCTGGATAGTGTTTAGGAGCGCGTTTTACAAGCGGACTTATGGTATGGCCAATGTACTCCACACGAGCGAGTGAACTGGTATATGCATGTTGAACTGCTTGATCTTACTTTTCATGTCACTCCTAATAAATGTCTGCTGATTTGATGTGTCGAGAAGTAATGGTGTTCTTGAAAATTAATCTACTGTTCTCCTTTCAGCAACCATGCTGGTAGGGCCTATGTACTTAGCTGCACAGGAGCCGGTGAAGTGGTAAGTGCACATTGATGTTGCCAAGTTGTAATAAAGCGGACTGGCATAATTTAACTACATATATATATATATATTTCTATAAAATAATACTAGACATTCCCCAGTGTATCTTTTTGATTGTCTTATGTATCAGGCGACCGTAAGGAAAATGGTACATTCCATGTACTTGTTGCAAAATTGATCTCACTGTATATTGTATGATATTTTATTTTTTCGTTACTTGTCATTATTTTATTCTTAAGGCTTGGAAGACTGTTAATTGCACTCGGATTCTGATTTATTTATATTCAGCAGAACTGGTGAGTCTGGTTTGGTTGGAGTGACCGAGGTCGCAGATGAACGCGGATCAATTTCCAATGAAAACTCGACGAACTTACCAAGCTCAGAAACACAACACGATCATGTTTGTCAGCGTGCTACATCACGTCATATTGAATTCATCTTAGCCCGTATTAACAAACGAAAGTCAGACAGTTATGCAAATAAAAATGAAGTGCAGAGCTTTGCAGATTGCGATATTTCGAATGGTATTGTGACGCCCGATGTTAGTGATTTTATTCAAGGAGAACAACAATTTAATGAAATTCCAAATATTTTTGGATCTTATTACAATTTTACTGGCAATGTAGCGTTAGATGCTTGTCAGAAGATAGCTGATTCTTTAGTGAACACCTTTCATCTCGGTTTTGATAGATTTTTCGGTGATTATGGAGACAACATTCTGAAGTCACCGTGTATCTTTAACGCTGGTAATTCTACTTCGTATGTGAGCCCTGAGTGGCCCAGTCATGTCCAGCCTGTTCCAGTTTTTATTAGTGATGAGTGTCAGAGCCAACCAGCTGGTATTTTCCCTAGCGCCTGCTTCGTGTCTTCCAATAGTTTTATCGAACGCTGTCGTGCACGTGGTGATGCCACTTCAGCTGACCTTCTAACTTTACCATCTTCGATTATGGGTCAATCACAAACGCTGATGGATGAAATGGATGTAAAGCGAGCGCGTTCCTTCTTAAATCGATGTCAAACTTATATGGCTCCCACTGATTACCGGCGCATGATGCGCGCCTTGATGAATCTTAATCAAGCTGTTGATAATCCCACATCGGCGGGTAGTAATCATGATGAGCAGTCGAGCAGAAATGCAGTCCTGGTATCTCTTGCACGTATATTGAATTGTTTGAAAAACCATGTGCAATTGTGGGAAGATTTCGTTTGCTTTCTGACACCATCACAAGCCCGTAGTTTGGGTCTGCTGTCCACCTACTTAAATTTAGCACGCATTGGTAGAGTTCAAAGGGTTTTGCAAGATATTGTTCCTGGAAATAGGAAGTTTTGGAGACGCTTGCGCAAATTGGCAGACAATTGCAGTATTAAAGCACGTTATATGCCAGTTAAAAAGAAAGTATATGTGGGTCCCAATGATGCGCCTGCTGAATTTTCAAACACATCCGAAGGTCCCAGCAGTTTCAGTGAAAAGGTATCTGAGGAATCCAGACCACCCACAAATCGTCTATGACACAACAATCTCCTGTGGTGAACAACAATCAGCCGAAGTCTTCACGTTTTAGAAGTGTGCGGCTGAACGGTGGAGATATGCATGATTCGTTTGCCAAAGCATGGACAGTTCTTGAGAGCAGCTGGCGCAGTCGTCCTGTCCTTCTATCTTGTATCGCTAGTCTAATTAACATCAGACACAAACCTTATTCTGGTTTTGAACAGGTGAGCTATCACGTGAATACATGCTTTACTTTTTACATACTGCAACCTTTTTGTTTTAATGTAAGAAGTTTCAATGGTGTACATATGTCCAACTAAAATTATAATTCAGGTATGATCGCTTGAATTCCTTGCATTTCGAAGAATTGAAAAGCGGTTTTCATTGTCTTTAATTTACTCACACTTGTAAGTGCCGGATATCACGTCTACGTCAGAGACAGCGTAAACTGGCATATGCTAAACTAGCCCTCTGTATCCGTACTGAGTTTTCGTCAGAGATCAACCCGTTGGTGCTGTTGGTACTTCCCAAATAAGTGAAATGGTAAACACACTCTACCACTTCACTCCCTATTTCTAAACTAAAAGTCAGTGCAGTCCAGACTAGTCCTGTAACATCATCTTACATTTGGCGGCATCGAATCGCATGCGAAACATTCGTAGACTGCAGCTCACGGTGTTCAGAAGACTGCATTTTTTCAGTGTCTTCACCCAGGTGGGAGGACAATATCATCTGCATATTCTAAGTCAACGAGATTATTCGCAAACGGTAACAAGTCAATCTCTGAGTCGTTGGATTCAGTTAGGGTTAAGTTCATTATTACACCTATGATGAAATTGAATAGAAATGGGGATAGCGAGCATCCCTGACAGACACCACTAGTTGTCAACAGTTCAGATGACAAATCACCGTAAGCTCTCACTTGGCTGTATGAGTTCGAGGGGAGTACTTTGATCAGTGCAATGTATTTGCTCGGTATTCTCTTAACAGCCCAGCATCGCCAGAGTACCTCTCTGTCGGAAGAATCCAATATTACCATTTTTCCCTATAGTTCATCCGAACTACAGTCGGTGGTAGCGTCAGTGGAGACCAGGAAAATACGAGGATGAGTGGCGCTACTCTTCCTTCTCCTAACCGACGCCTTCACACGAACTGCAGGTGTGGTGCGATATTTTCGTTACCTATGTGCCTATCAGCTAGAAAATATAAATCCTCAGTCATCTTGTTGGACAATACTTATCTGGTGAATAGAAACGGACACTGCTATGGAATAATAGTGATTTTGGTGTAAATGCGTTCTCTGAATTGGATGGTCTACTTGCGGAGCATTCACTACCCTACTAGGTAACATCCTCAGCGCATACTTCAGTTTTAAACAGAATAGAATTCTCAGTATTTGTCACAATATTGCATTTAATTTACTTTAAATACAAATGAAATTAACAGGAATTTGTCCGCACTCCAGGTAGGAATGAAGTCAAAAATGTGCAAAGTATCAAGTGAGAATAACAACTGTTATGTAAAGTAATGTTAATAAAAACAGTGGGTTTGTTTCAAACAGTATTGTCGATACAGTCTAAAAAATTTAGCATGTTATGCAGTACTGAATCTAATGGTCTCTTGATATAGTACGGTGAAGGGAAAAACAAAAAATGACAACTATTACAGAGCTAAAATGATGTATACACTTAGGAGAGTATGAACAAAAACATTGAGAGGATTATGACTATAAGAAGACTAGTAACTCACTGGTTTCAACATAGAACTTTGCACCGATGTGCAGCAGTTCGAATTGCCACACCGCTTAGCACACAAAGCAAAAGAAGGAACGAAAAGAAATGCAAAATACAGACAGTAAACTGAAATAAGAGGCCAGAAGAATAGTAATATCGAAGAACAGTATAGTTTTATTGGATATCATAAGCCACAAGAAGTGCATGCATCTGCGCCACTAAAAACGATTTTGAGCCATATCACCGATTGTCTCCAGCCACTCGTGTTTACCGTCCCGAGGATCCAAACCGGTCAGGAAGTCTACACCTTCCTAAGTGACTGGCTAGCTTAAACTAGCTGTTATGGATTTCATTGACTGATGAAGCCATGTTTTGGTTTGACCACCATAGGTCCTTTTGCAATCTGATTCATCCTATGTCAGCTGACATTGCCCGTCGAGAAAGGCGATGGCTAGGAAAGCATTCGCGGCACATGTCCTAACCATCTCAATCGGTGTAAGTTCACAAGCCACACAACAAATGTAGCGTGGCGTATCTTTCTTGGTGCCATATTGTACCAAGTTTAAGATTATTCGCAAACGGTAACAAGTCAATTCTTGAGTCACTGAAGTCACTAAGGGGTAATTCTACCAGTACATCTGTGATGAAATTAAACAGAAATGAGGACAGTGGTTATCCCTGAAGGACACTGCTAGCTGCCACCAGTTCAAATGACAACTCGCCGTAAGCCCTCACCTGGCTGACTGCATGAGTTCGAGTAGAGTGAGTGCCTTAATAAGTGCAATGCATTTTCTATGCATTCCCTTTACAGTCAAGCATCACCAGAGAACCTCTCGGTCGACAGAATCGAATGCCACCCTTAGGTCAAGAAATATAATAATTGTTGGACGCCGGTAGGAATGCCTATGTTCTAGAATCTGTCGGAGGGTGAAGATATGATCAATTCACCCTCTTCCTGGTCCAAAGCCTGCCTGGCTCTCTCGTGTTTGTGCCTTCCGAGAACCACTTAGTCTACGCATGATTATTGAGCTTAGGACTTTAGATACTTAAGATAGACTTCAGATAGATTTTGTACAGTTAGTTGAAACCTTTTGCCTAATACAGTTAGAAACTCTAAGTGATATAACTAAAAAGCTATTTGAGCAGTGCAGATGTATTCGTAATGCATGCACTAAATATTCTTTTCTTTTACTTTATGGTGGGGAGTGGGGTTACAGTTTTTTACGCTTCTATATCCACACTCTTGCCGTACATCTTCCTACCTTCTAGTTGGTGTGTATATCCGACGTGTGACAAGTTGACCAACTACTGATTGACTGCAGGTTCTATATGCATAGTATGCGTGTTCGCCTACTCACTTCCTGATAGTCTAACATGCTCTGTTTCACTTTTAACTTTTTACTTCCCACTTATTGGTACCTCTTGATATTTCGTTTTCACAAGTATTTTTTAAAGATGTGTTCATGTAGGGTTTATAGGTGTTTTGAGGTACAGAAATTTTCATGCATATAGGCGGAGAATAATCCTCATACAGTACACTCGTCTTTTTCTGATTCCTTTAACTGCAATTTATAAATGCTAACGTTTGGTATTGGCACACTGACTGATGTTGATATCATTAGAAAAAAATGTCTGATTAGTCTGATATACAGAAACATGGTGTTGGTCTATACACCAATTTGTGAAGCATACTTACATATTCAAGAGGAAGCCCCACTATAAATTACCATTCGACTTCAGATACTGGAAGAGTGAAAAATATAGTCTCACTGCTCTGATCAAGCAGACAGCTGTACTTGGATTTCCATAGTACAAAATTCCAGAGTTACGTATGACCTGTGGACGGATTCAACACAAAGTATGGTTGTCGAAAACCCTCTGATAAGCAATTTAGAGAATAGCTCCAAGAAACAAGCCGTGATAGTTCATAAATTTCAGTCGTTAATGTGATTTTCCTGACAGAATGTTTGAAATAATGTACATTTTTATTAGTGAGAAGAGATGAAGAGGTTTCAGGTAATCAAGAGAAGGTTGCTATTCCAATAAGATGCGAGTGCTGATATTGATTTATTGACGGTTTACTCTTCCCAGCTGTCCACATCATGAGAATTGATTTGTTCTTTCAGTGTCTGAATGAGGGTTAGGGATTTTGGCGGGAAATGGAAACAGAATTTGTAGTGTGAATTGGAGTCTTTCTCATTGCGTAGTTTCTCATCAGCTAGCTGCCGACAGCCTACTATACTCCTTTCATCATGGTTAGATTTCCTGCAAGGACTCATCGAAGTCATGTCTGTCCCTCTGCTTACAAGTAAGTGAGTCTAGTTATTTCACTAAGATAATCATTTTCCTTTCATTTTTTTCTTTTTACTTCAGTACATTGTTCTAAGATTATTAATAAAGAATAATTTCATATTATTTTATTTGTTTAGAGCTTCGAAGAGACAGATGTACTTGCTAGAAATCCTGTTGGAATTCCGAATGCTTGTGATGAATCAAATCACAGTGCAAGTATTTGTAATGTGGATGAATGCACTCATCAACTAGAAGTTGATACCAACGATCCTGTGAATATACTGTCTCCTCATGTACAGTCTTTATTTTCTGATGGATGGGAAATATGCACAGATCTTTCTTCAGCTGCCTACAACCGCAAGAACCCGCTAGAAACAGCTTCGGTACATAGGCAATGTCCTTGTCTATGCCATTCAAATGTCTCGCCTAATAAGACCGCAAGTGTACCAAACAAATCCGGGAAACCTGCAAAAGTGTATAGTCTGGGTTTGAGACATTGTATTTCTTGCAGCCTAAGGGTAAGTTACTTCTCTTAGTCCCCTAGTCAACGAACCTATATATAAGCGTTGTATTCCTAGTTTTATATACGCTTATACTTATTTGGATATTTTATTTACTAAACAATCCCAAGGAAATAATTGCAGTAGACTATCAAGAAAGCTCGCCTAAACCTCGCCGGATTACTAGCTTTCTAGTTTTCTAGCTGGTCCAAAGCCCGGGTAAAGAGGGAGGGTTGCGGCGTGGTGCTAGCAACTTCACCCCGTAAAACAACCAAATCGCTACAGAAACTTCAACGAATAAATATATTAAAAATTCTAAAAACATAAACAATAACCTTATTTTTTGCTGGAATCGGGGAAGTGAAATGACGCAGGCTGGTGAAAGCCTTTGGGAAGCCAGTCAGCCGATGTGCTTTCTTTCGATGAAAGCAAAAGTAAGGATGGGTACCTGGAATGTTCGTACAATGTACGAAACTAAAAAGGCTGCCCAGATAGCCGCTGAAATGGGAAGGTACAGAATAGAAGTGTTGGGAATCTGCGAGAGCAGATGGAACGGAGCTAGAAGGTGCCAACTACCAACTGGAAAGACAATAATCTATTCCGCCCACCCAGAGGACAACCACGAGCACACCAAGGGAGTGGCCATCACGATGTCACCAACAGCAGCCAAAGCTCTCATGCAGTGGGAACCAATCTCCTCCAGGATAATGACAGCCAGGTTCAACTCAAAAGGAAGGAAGGAAGCTTACAATCATTCAGTGTTATGCGCCTACAAACGTCTCAGAACAAGAGAAGAGGGAGGCGTTCTACAGACAACTACAAGCAATAATGGACAACGTCCCAAATGGCGATATCAGAATCCTGATGGGCGACATGAATGCGAAGCTGGGAGGAGACAACACAGGAAGAGAGCTCACCATAGGTCGTGAGGCCCTCGGTAAAATGAACGACAATGGTGAACTCTTCTTAGACTTCTGCGCCTTCAATGATTTGGTGATTGGCGGTAGTGTGTTCAAACACAAGGATGTACACAAGACGACATGGATTTCACCAGATGGAAACACCAAGAATCAAATAGACGTCATCTCAATTTCAAGAAAGTGGAGACGGACCCTACTGGACACAAGGTCAAGGAGAGGAGCAGATGTGGGTTCAGACCACTATCTAGTAGAAGGGACTTTCGAGGTGAAACTAAAAGCCTCGAGGATAGCTGGGGATGGGCCACAATGCAAGTTCAACAGCAGATATGCTGACTCCATTATTGCAAAAGGTCTGGAAGGAGGGAAAGTGTCTACTGACTGGAGGAAAGGTTACCTCGTGAATCTACCACAGAAGGGTGACTTAGGCCCCACTCTGCAAGAACTGGCGAGGAGTCATGCTCCTGTCGACGCCAAGTAAAATTCTGAGTCGCATCATACTGGAGAGAATAAAGGACGCACTGGATGCAGAACCCCGACCAGAACAAGTTGGATTCAGGAAAGTCAGACAAATCATGTTCTGACCAAATTGCAACTCTACGCATCATCATCGAATAAAGTATGGAATGGCAATCAAACCTTTACCTCAACTTTATACACTTTGAGAAGGCCTTCGACAGCGTTGAGCGTGAAGTAATTTGAAAATTACTCCGGTACTACGGCGTACTCTAAATATTCATCAACCTTATTCAACAGCTGTACGACAACGGCACATGTCAAGTGATCCACAACGGAAAACTTAGCGAGGCGTTTGGAGTAAACTCAAGAGTCAGACAAGGGTGCTTATTATCACCCATGATATTCCTATTTGTAGTGGGCTGGATTATGCGTCAGACAGTGGGAAACGAGAAGACAGGAATATCCTGGACTGACGTGAAGAACCTAGAAGACCTGGATTTCACGCGTGGATGATTTATGTTTGATGTCACACAAAATCGGAGACTTACAAGCGAAAACCGACAAACTGGTCGAAGAAGCAGACAGTGAAGACAGGACTCCAGGTAAACATAGACAAGATGGAGGTTATGAAAATAACCAACCAACTTTTTTTAACAGCAACAACATCCAACGTCAATCACTATCAACGGAAGGGATTTGGAAGAGGTTACTTCATTCATTTACCTAGGGAGAATTGCCTCAACTACAGGATTTTGGAACGGATGAGGATGTGAAATCGAGTGAGAATCGAGAAGGCGAGAAACACATTCATCAGTCTGTTTTTTTTTTTTTTGAAATCTTCGTCACTCATTTTTGCATCAACAAAAAAATGCAGTCGGATTTTCAATACAAAAGTCAAGTCAGTCAGTTCTTCTATAGGGATCGGAAACTTGGAGGTTTTGTCAAAAAGAATATTTCCAACGGCCTGTTGCAGACCTTTATTAACCACTGTCTCCGCTCTATACTGAAGATCAGATGGCCAGAAAGAATCACCAACAAGGAACTATGGGAACAAACAAAGCAAGAACCAATCGCCCAACAAATATGCAGGAGAAAGTGGAGATAGATCGGTCACTCGCTGAGGAGGCCGCTGGGTGACATCGCGCGCGCGTCAGGTCATTGCTCTAGTGGAACCCGACAAAATAGGAAGCAGCGTGTGGGACGTCTTTTCAAGGGTGACATGGAGGAGATCGTGTGAAGAGGAGTTGAAAGAGTATGGACTAACATGGATGCAGGCGAAAAGTACAGCAGAAGACAGAAGCAAATGGAGACGTGCAGATGAAGCCCTATGTTCCACTAGGAACCCAAGGGAGCAATAATAATAATAATCAAGAAAGCTGTATTGCTTCATAATTTATTAGTCTTTTTCTCCACTCTTTGCTGTGAATTGTAAGATGATGATGGTACTGTGAGACAAATGGTACGTTTCAGTTAATTAGACTTTCTGGAAATTAATTTAAAGCAAGCACTGTTTGTCGTTGACAACATACTAAGTTTCCTAATACAACAACTCTAGTTCACAAAGTAGCTGACTATCGAGTCACTAGAATTTCACACAGAAGTCCATTTGTTCAGGTTGTTGTATTCCGAAAATGAAATAGAATGATAGGACAGTAGAAGATAACATGATCCAATTATGCATACTTTTACTTTATTCAATGTCCAATCAAAACAGTCCAATACTGCTTTTACATACATTGAGAGATTTTCTGTCGCTTCAACTTTTAAGCTACCTATCTACATTATAAACGTCTCTATAATGATGAATATAATAGTACAGTTTTATTTAGTACGTGATGATTTTATCAAAATACTTGATCACTATTCTATTTGTCAGATAAGCAGATTGCATGTTGAATTTGTTTCTGCTGATGCTCACTTTCCACTTTTATATTGATAAGTGCTTTATTTTTTAGGTGCACCGTGGGACACTTTATGTTGATGAATGTAATCTCCACCTACGTCCTGTGCAGATAACTTGGCCACCTGGTTTTAAGCCCAAAACTCGCTTACCTACAGATATTCCATCAAGTGATGCCATTTCGCCTCAGAACCATCGTTTAACAACAACAATGCAACATGCATCAAGTATATCCAAGTGTGTTGCTGCGAATAAATTATCGAATCACTGCACTCAACTACCAGATATGGCTGGTAGGCGTGTTTCAGTAGAATATGTCCATGCATTGAAATCGATCAAATCAATCAATCATGAAATCATCCATTCAAATAATCAAGGTTATGGTAAAGCTCTAGAAGCAGCCAAAATCCAGTCACCGTGCGATTTGACAGATTTGGACCTAGGATCATTGACTGAACATAACATTTCACAGGATGTACGCTCAAAATTTGGTTATTTAGAAAACCCAATAAGCTGGACATTGGATGACGAGGCTGCTTGTTTTAACACAGAGGCTATTGCCTCTCTATCAGATGACAACCATGAATGTGAATCCTGTGAGTTTAGTAACAGTGATACGGATGACTGAACCCCCAGAAGAAGACAGGCAATTACTAGAAATTCACAAGACTAAGGTGTCGTTACAGTTCCAAAACGTTGTCAGTCCTGGCTGAAATTTGGGAACTTAAACTGTATGATTTCTGCCCTCGACGGGACGCGGATGAACTGGAGGCGCGTTTCAAGAGCCTGACGCGCACCACTATAGGCAGAACTTACGGTCCTGAACTATTTTAAACCTCTAGCACACTACAGTCACCATCTGGAAGCGATGAATAGGTCATTATTACTATTTATTTCACATTTCCTTTTAGTTACTTGACTTTTCTTGCTTTTAAATCTTTGTTTTCTCCCCGTATTCATGATTCAAAATTACATGTTTATGCTAATGACTTTTCACAATACCATGTAATTTATGTTGTTTGCATAAAATTTGAATTCTGTTATCAAAACAACTTCGAACTATGGATAACTTTGTGAAGTTTTAGCCTTAAAATAATTCATATATGTTATCTGAAGGGAAATTCAAAAACATATTAGAGGTGTGTAAACAATCTATGTGTCAATATATGTATGAAACTTGAGCACTGTAGTAGTAAGTAATTCCATATTAGTTTGTTTATTAGATATATCACACAGTGTGAAACAGTATTATTTACTGGATGACAAGGTTTCGAACAAAATTTATTGTTCATAATCATATCAATTGTGGTCACACGACTTTGAGATTTGAGTTTTATAGTTTTCTCCTATTTGTCGTATGGGCAGTAGAATTTTCCATATATCTGGGGCAGGTGTTGAATCGTTTCTATTACATGTATTTGCAGTTGATTCGATAAACAAAGCTTCTGTTATCAATCTCTCCCTATACCCTGTGACATTAGATTTTAAAACTGTCATCCTATCGCATCCTATTGTATGGTTGTGTGTAACTGCATGTAGTGCTATAGCTGAATTATTCTCTAGATTTCTTATCTTATTTGGGTCAACCAATCTAGATTTTGCTAAGTTTTTATGTTCAGCTAGTTTGATAATAATCTCAGTACGGATACAGTGGGCTGAATTCGCATATGCCAGTTTACGACGTTTCTGGCGTAGACGTGATATCCGACTATCGACCAAAGGGCAGGTGTACTGCTGATCAGTCCGCTCCGCCCTCCTTTATGGCTGTTAGTGAGACCTGGCCATTGAGAGTGGAAGACATGAAAATGCCGGCTGGTTGTCTTTGATCATAGATGCCTGCGTTCTACTTCCCAAGTGAAGTGGTATAATGCACGCTGAGAATTCCATACATGTACTACAGATACTGTTTGGAATAAAACTGTTGTTATTATTATTATTATTACTAAGGTGAGCAATATTGAGGTTAGGCTTCGGTCGAGTGATAGGTAAGTAGGGGAAATCAATCGACGAGGCTGTGAAGCTACATCGACTCAGATGGTTAAGACATGTGCTACGTATGCCTAGTCATCGCCTTCCTCGACAATGGGCAATGTTAGCTGATATAGGGTCAGGCTGGAAAAGAGCTAGCGGCAGTCAAACCAAAACATGTCACCAGGCAATGAAATCCATAACAGTTAGTCTAAGCCATGTAGGAAGGTTAAGACTTCCTGGTTGGGGTTCTCGGGACGGTAGATTAGCATATCTTCTCTTCACTGCGCTTGCTTCCGTTGTTTTTAATCTTGAGCGGCTGAGGAAATTTTTCTTCACTGGTGTGCTGTAAACGTCTTCAGTTAGTAAGGCTTTTTATGGCTGTGAGTTGATGGTAGTTACTTCCCAGATATTATAAGGAACGACTTTTGAATATTCTGTTTGACCAACATGTCTACCGTGTACTGTATTGTTGTTGACGGGGAAGACTTCTATCAGTAACAAGTTTGAATTTTATTATAACTATATAGTTAGAACAATTAAGTGCCACATGGCGCAATTAGATTTCTACCTGAACCATCTTTAGCATACTGTTACTGTTAGTAGTTAAATCTTCCTCCCAAAATGTCCTTCATACAGTCCGTCTCACACATGTTCGAGCAAATATGACGATATTTCCACTGGTCACTAACGCATAATAACCCATCCAAGGCTTTCGACAATACCTGTTGTCTTCTTGGAATTATGGGAAAACGCTTACCAAATCTTTTGTTGCTGTCTTCTTGGTATTTCACTCAAATATTTCGCCCCTCTAAATGATATGAACGTGATGCAGACAGTAGAGATGAATATGCAACAAACAAATACTGCCGACTTAACTGAAATTTTGAAATTTCTCATTCTGGATAGTTTGTTCGAGGAATTTACCAGCTTGACATTTGATATCGTAGTTGTGAGTACTCATAACTAGGAATACGTCAGTACACTAGAATGTGAAGTGTTTAATGCGCACGCCGAGCCACCGACTTCCTCGACGAGCAATTTTCGCTGACATAGAGTTAGGTTGGAGAGCGCTTATGGGTGGCTAATTCAGTTAATAAAGTCTGACAGTTGGTTTCAGCCGCCTAGGCAGGTGCAGACTGTTCGGTTCGGGTCCTCGGGATAGTAGGAACCAATTACTCGAGACTATCGGTGATGTAGCTCAAAATGACGCAAATGCATTCATTCTTTGTAATCACCCAGATACATTAAACTGACACGTTTTCCTATATTGCTGTTATTTCTGCTACACTTTTGTGCATATCATAGATTTTCGAATTTTTCCTTCCATATATATATATAACTCGGAACTTTCTCCTATCCTCCACTTATATATAATGGACTAATTGGCAGCTTAATCCAGCTATTTTTGCAGAAGTGCATCAAATTAAATCCTAACACTTCGGCATTTGTCTCTGTCGAACAAATAGTAAAAAATGTACCTAAAATCTATTCTGCTATTCACAAGCTTCATTTTTTGTTGAGATATCTTCCATATGCTCCTCAAAACACGCAGTAAAGTCACAAATACAAAACAGTGTTTTCCTAAATATGATGTAAATCACATCTAGTTCATCTATAGCCAGAAAGAAATACTGTCATACAATATATGTGAAGTTACTTATATACAGCCATACATGACATTCTGTAATATACGCTAAGCTTATTCCAGCCTGACGGCTTTTGCCTTGACGTATGTAGTAATAATAGGATATTGCAACAAGCTAAAATGGCCCCAACTCATGTTTCTGCAGGTCCTACCATACCAGAAAACTCGTTTGGATAGCGATTAGGCTAAAAGCAGTTACCGTCAAAGTGCAAGTTGTTTACACCATATGGACGGGGGCGTACTGCTCACGAATAGGGATGCAACAGCACTAAGGTGTTTCCATTGATGACTAGCATACTAGTTATGCTGTATCTACGCCATAGAGGGAAGATTAGGTTAGGTGGCACAGTGGTTGGGACTCTCGCCGACCATGCACGTGGTCCGAGGTTCGATCCCCTGCCAACGCACCCCTGATATCTATGGCCGGCCTGCAAAATTTGGGCTACCAATATCCATGCTGGAAATTCTATACTTGTACCAAAAATACAGTGTGGAATCAAGGTGTAATCAGAAATAAAAAAAGGTAAGGTTGACCCCAAAAACTGTACATCGCCACTTATCTTCTGGCGAACAAAAATCCAAAGAACAAATCAAACAAGCCATGTGTGACAAACCTCAAGCAGTTGTCACCCGGGGCTCTGCAGTCAAGCAACACTAGTGTTTTTTCCTGTTTCAGCTGCCTCAGGACGGAAAGTACAAACTGCCAACACACCTACCTCGAGAAGCACACAAAATTATCCTGATCATCGCCCACCATTGTCCACGTCACCATCATCTCGGTTTCCCATTAATGTTAACGTCATTCCATAGGCACATCCCTCATCTTCTCTTAATTCTGCAACAACCAGTAGCGACACTACTGATATTCCCTTAGAACCACACTGTCAACTTCATATTGGAGCACCTGACATTCAGACCCTTTACCATATCGGAAAACCGGTATCGCTAGTCACAACTCTGGCATCTGGAGGCATCGTTATATGTTATGTTTCACATAAAAGATCCGATTGTAGTTATCCAGTTAACCCCACATGTCAAACAAAGTCAGCAGATTCTTCGGCTAGTTCGCATGGACTCGCCAGTATAGGGATAGCATTTAGTGCCAAGGCAGACAAATCCTCACTTGACTGTCTCCAAGACAATAGCCATTTGTGCGCTGTTCATTTTAACGGATCCCCTACAAGAAGGATAGACTGAGATATTCGACGATGTCATTCCATAATCTCCGCTTAAATCCCAATAGAGTGCAGTTCGAATGAAGTGAGGGATGGGTTCTATCTAAAAGTGTCTAGTTTGCTGCTGAATGCAGAACGCTCAGATATAGTCATTTTAGCAGGTGGTTTCAATACTCAAGCAGGGAATGTGTGCCAGTTAGAAAAGTACACTGGTGGCACCCACGGTGTTGCATGCCTACGAACCGACTACGGTGACCACCCACTGCAGCAGCTATGTTCAGATAATCATCCGTTCCTGATCAGGGCCAGGTCCAAGCATAAAGGCAGAGACTGACTAACCTGGTGCTCTCCACCATCAAACCAACGATGTACTCAATTAGACCACATAGTGCATAAATTATCAATGGCGAAGGTTGATAGAAGACTGCAACATCTTCTGGGACACTTACGTATATTTCAATCATGTGCTGGTTTGAGCACGTATATGCCCATGATTCGACAGACGTAGGAAACAGGTGGCTGTGAAGTCATGGCTTCCCAGACATGATCAGGACACTAATTCCCTATCCAAGGAAGAAATGGTTAGACACATGTCTGAGGCTGACAACAAGACTCATCCTGAGGACGTCTGACACAGTATCCAACCAGTTGCTCATAGTCCAAAAACAAAGATTACAAAATCACGGTGGATTCCTGTAGCTTTAGATGAGTTGATGACTGATTCAAGAATACTGATCCCAGCGGGTTCTGAGCATGATGAGAAGCGAAGGCTGCTAAAACGCAAACTGATTAAAAGTCTTCACAACGACCACGAACATTGGTGGGTAATAAAAGCGAAAATGAAGGAAGATGAATCAGTGATAGACAACATTAGACAGCTGTCTGGGCTTATTAGGGGAGAAGTTGCAAAAGGCAAATGATAAGTGAGACAATTTCCAAGAAGTGTAGCTCTAGTTAACTCTGGATAGATGACTGAAATGTTGGAACGGGCATTTTGAGGAGAAATTCAATTTACCTAAGCTCGCGTGAAATTTACCTAGCATTCAACACCTACCTCAGTTGGATGTAGGTAATCGGTCCTCTATCTGCAAATGAGGTTACGAATACTCTCTCTGATCTGAAACGAGTAGGATGTTGTGGAATGTCTCCTGCGGCGTTTAAGGGCGGTACTGCCAAACTTCTGTGTGAAATAACTAAGATATTAGGTAATATTTTGGAATAATAATTCCGTTATGACAGTTGTCAATGATTAACCTGTTCTTTAAAATGGGTACAATCTTGCTTAGTTTTCTAGTTAGCTAGTTTTTCTAGCTGGCCTCAAGCTATGGAGGGTTTGGTGTATGGCTGGAAACTCCACACCACTAGTTATTTCGAACAGCTAGAGAAACTTCAAAACACAGAAAATATATTGAAAATACAAAAACTTCAAACAATCTTATTCTTCGCTCGAAGCGAAATGACACGGGATGGTGAAAGTCTCCTATGATAATCATAGGGTGATATGCTCGATTAACTTAGTATTTCATGTTCCAGGTCCCATATTCATGCATAGATTGAGCGATGGTCGAGACAAACTAGCTCGGAGAAACCTGTCAGACTTAAGGTCAGGAAGAGGGCGCACTGATCATAACTTCAGACTCTCGAGCATACGCACGCTTACCGGTGTCCAACACTTGCCAATACAGGGAGTGAAATGGTTGAGTGTGTTGAGACCACATGCATTCACTCTTTGTAATTTTTTTCAAGTTGCTACCTTTTCTTCGTCACATTTCCGCTTATTATAGTTCTTTTGAATCGCTTGCTTTTCTTGTCTGTCTACCTTTGTGTGCTATAATGTGTGGCGACTTCAGCTACTGCACTTCTGTGCTAAGTTCTATGTTTAACGTCAGTCAGTCACCTAAGCCAATTCTAATTTCACAGCCATTTTCGTTTCGCTAAACAGAGACAACGAAAAGCACATTCAGAACTTATCCATATTGTGCTGCATAATCGTAGTCCTCATCAGAAGATATTTTTAGCAGTATATGCCACTGACCCAAAAGTAAATTACACAAGAGCTAATTCATTTTTTTCAAAGTGTATATCTTCAAAAAATGGGGATTTTCATAGGACAACCTTGTGAAAAACAATCGCTCAGAAAACGAAGAGTTTTAGTGTTAATAAGCATCACACAGCTTACCAGTTTAGAACTTTAAACGCACTTTTTTAAGGTTAGTTAGATTAGCATGATTCTTATTCTCCGTACCTTAACTGCGGAGAAGTTTAAAAATAGTCCAGTTCTCATCAAGTTACGTATCTGTTTATAACACATTAAAAGCGATATTACAAATATTCCATGAGTCTGACAATATGTACAAAGTATTTAATTTCAGATTCTGATGACATTATTTACCACGAAATCCACCACCTCGCCCTGGTCCACCGGCTACATTCCCACCGCGGCCCGATCCTCCACGACCCCTATTTGCAAGAACATTACCACCACGACCTAAAATAACAGGAAAGCCAGAAAATTAAGTGAATTATTTTTATAGGTTCACAAATCAGAGAAAATGAAAAGGCAAAATCAAACAAGGCAGACGAGAAATAATATAGACGGCATTCTAATGAATATACCAAATTCGAGTTGAAATTGAAGAAATATTTGCCTAAATATGACAGGAATAATCATTCTGCATTCCGATGAATGCCTGGGGAAACAGTTACGAGTACACTTAAAAACCTGTAGTCAAACGAATCAGCGAATGTCGGCGGATTTCCTTAGCTTTATCCAGACGGGTCATTCACTACTACTGAACTGACGCCAGAACACACCACGCACTATAATCACTGAAAGTTTCCGAATAAGTCTTCATAACAACCACATACAATGCTGGGTGACGAGAGAGAAATACAAGAGGACTTCAGAAATAGGCTTTGCTGAATGGTGAGAAAGCGAAAGCCATGATGACACCATTGCCAAGAGGAATAGAACTTTGACACCTCCTTATGAGAGGTGGCTGGAATGTCAGGTAGAAGAGTTTGGAGAGGAGTTCAACTGGTCTACAGTTGGTCACCATCGAACCACAGCTTAAGTGGATTGTGGAAACTGATTTGTCAACTGTAGTGGAGGTTGTCAGGGATGTATCTTATCCGAAAATACAGCAAAGCATCGTGATCCGATGGATTGACCTCAGAGGTGTTTCAAAATTGAGACGATGGATTACTGACTTAGAGTGATTAACTTATATACTAGTTGTTAGTGTGTGTGAATACGAGAAGAGTTCAGTGAGAATGAAGTAGACTGTTAATCATACCAGTTTGTACGATAGGAAACATATCTTATTATGATGACCACAAAAGGATGAGCTATTTAGGTATTTGTATGTGCTGGTCGTGCGACATATGAAATATCTATTACAACAGTGGAAGTTTGGGTGGCATACACCACCCTAGATGACATAGTGACATTAATCTGGCCGATGAATATTGCGCCCGCTGCGTCTTGTTGTGAGTAGTCTTGCTTTACGCCTATGAAACAGCCCCTGAGAGCAGAATATATGACCAGAGTATTCGATCAACGTCGACATAACCTCAAAAGTAATTCTGAGATCCAAAGCCATGTTTGAACAAGGTGGAAATCGACTCTAAATAAATGATTTAACTTCAGAATAGTGTCTTCATTAGTTCAGACATACGCTACCTGTCATCACCGTGTTAGCTCTCGGACTGTGTAGGTAAATGGGAGGATGTTGGCCAGTGATATGGCGCCAGAGGATGAAAGACAGTTGCGTTACGTTATATGCTTTTGATGCATCACTGTTCTTTATGTGACGTCTGCGAGACTGACAGATTCAGTACCTTGACTGATAATCGTAATCAATGGTGAACATGTAGTTTATTCCTTTCTTCTTTCTGTGAAAACAACACAAAGTAATGAATATTTTGAAGGTTCTTTTAAAGTGCACTTCATGATGCTATTGCTGAATTATTCCAATTCGCTTTTCTACATAACGCTGGTCTACTATTTTGTGTGGAACGTCTCTTAGTTCCTATATTATACCGACTTTGTTTTAAATAAATAAAATACCATGATGTTTTAAGCTATTCCGCCCATCAGCATAAATGTACTCAGAAGTAAAAACTAATATTGAATGGTTACCTACTATCACCTAAGTCCTAAAGGTAGCTGCAGGATACTTCCTACTTTACCTGAGGTGACCAGAATCCACTCGTGCTCTACTTATCTAATCAACGGACTAGTAAGTCAACAGCCCACTATTTTTTACTCTTGTAAAATTATTCGCTGAGTAGTATAGTAGTACTATAGTAGTATAGTCATCAATGGAAACAGTTTGCAACTAGTATGTGGTACAATTAATCTATCTTCAGCAACCATTCGTAACCTATTCATACACCGCTTGACGTAACTGTATTAACCTAGAAATGCCAACGTGTTGATTTAAGAATAAGTTCGGCAAATTCTCATCAGGCTTTACATTCACATAGTGTAATAATACCCATAGGTAATTTGAATTAATGTGGTTAATTACATTCCGCTCACATTCACATGAAGCTATTCATAAGCATGAAATAATACCTATAACCAGACAAACTTCAAAACACAGACACACTGAAAAACAGTTTTCTCTCGGCTATAGGGATCTTTACCAGTAAGACTATAAACATCTATCTACTATGGAAAACGAACTACTAAAGACTGACTTAACTTAGACATTTTAAAACGCACTCATAAGTGATCACAAGTAACTAACCTTCCACTAAAATCCAGAAGAGCTTTTATTAGAATGGGCATCTTTAGCTTATAGTGTACCACGAAGCGCTGACAATCAGTTGTGCTAACAACTTCATGTTATGCTCAAAGACGTCCATAGGCGAAAACATTAATAAGGGTTAGTACAATTTGATGACGACTTATTCTTCATGAAGTTAGAATACATAAACTCAAAATTCACACGATTAAGAACATATACTAATCATGAAACTGCATCCCAGATAAAAAATAATGAGGCAAGATAATTCATCCCTGTATTTCCTTCAGAACTAATAAATTCAAGTCGTCAAATTATATGGATGGAGCCCAGATCCCGTCATCAACCGCAGCTGGAATGTCAGCATGACTATACCTATCACGATTTCTAGATCCTTATGAATATAACTGTAGTAAAGAGTACATTCGACGTATTTCCTCGGAATTCATACTTCATGAAAATCTTCCCAACATAGTCAACCTGACATTCAGACTTGGAACTTCATGTAGAACTAAATCATCTAACGCCACCATACCTAAAATATATACACATAAATAGAATGTAAACAGAATAATACTAGGGTGCATAGAAATGACTATGACGTTATACGTAAATGATGAGGAGTGAATACATCTACGTAACTGTAGACCCTATTGAGACATTGAGAAAATAAAACAAACATGTATCAAACACATAGTGCTGTCGAGTTCACTGAAATAGGAAATATAATATAGGTCCATAGTATCTGCAAGATGGAGACGATTCTGTGAGGAAAACTAACAGGTATATAATGAAAAAATGCTTAAATAAAACCAACAAATATTTGCCGTCGTGTCTGACCTTTGCCTTTGTTTCTATTAAAGCCTCCCCGTCCCGCATCTGAAGACTGAGAACGATTGCGCATTTTTGCAAGTTGTAAGTCTTCTTTCACCTTATCGATCACATCATCTGGAATTCGTAGGTATTTGATTATACTCCCACGTATATAACACTCTGGCATTTTCCAAAATCTGTCGCCATCCTACACAACTAAAGTGAGCAAGTAAAAACTATTTACCCGAGATGTGCAAATGACTTCTTTCAAATGAATGTTCATCCAATCATCACAAGCTACAAGATGACCGTTGTATGTTTCACCACTTTTCAATTCCACTAGCTGGAAATAAAGAAGTAATTTCAAGAAGGATTACCATAGGCAAATTTGTTGCAGCTTTAAGAAGCGAAACAGGTAACTAAAGGATAATAGTATTAAAAACGAAACAGACCATCTCGGGTATAACAACCAAACGTAACACAAGCAGCCAGTGTGGAAATCAGACTTGTAGATGGCGCCAGTTACTTTATGTAACAATTTGTCACACTGATTTTATGAGCGGTTCGGACTGGATATTATTTGTCTTAGCCATTTCTGCATCGTTTTATAGGTAAGAGAAAACAAAGAACCTACCATATAACCCTGACCAAGAAAGAATCTCACTGGTGATGAAAACACTAAAAATTATGCAGGATTTACTAAGCACATTGATTGAAATTTTGCTCGGTAAACTTTTTCGTGAATAAGTTTCAATAATGTGCTATATGTTTTCTGGATTGATAGGAATTGTGACTTCCTGACTAGTCATGTTGGTGTCCGCATCATGTGATCCGACTGCGGCAAACTCTTAGCATATTGGTTGCAATGACAAATGTTTCAGGCGGACTGTATCAAAATATCTCTATAATGAGCAAATAAGGATAGTTTGAGTGTAATGTCATCTACACAGGTATGTGTAAGCTAAACCTGCCGGTACAGGATCATTTAATAAAGAATTCACATCTCAGGATACCAATGCGGCATATTTACGTGTGAAAACCAGTGACAAGTCTTGTCGTGTGCTAAGAAGGTTAATTATTTCATGCCTGACAATATTTTCATCACACAAAATACGCACCGTATATGGTACAGTGGAATTTTTATTCTTAGACGTACGTGCATAAAGTCTTCTGAAATTTCTTCTTGTTTTACCTGAGGAGACACAAGGTTGCAGCCGCGGGTGAAGTGGATGCTCACAGTCTGACAAAATTGCTTTCGCAAATTCGATGCATGAAATCAAGTGCCTATTAATGACAATGTCAAAGATATGGCCCAATGGGATACTACTCACCCTACTAACAGTCTTCGGAGTTCTACGAAGTGCGACATCGTGTTTTTAAGCAATACATGAAAGAATAGGGGGGAACAGTAAAGAACAATAGATAAGATGCACGAATTGACAAACTGTAAGAAGGGATAAGTTGTGTCTGGGCGCCTTAACTTCGCAATGTGAACAGTCAGACGAAATATTCTTTTGGAAGTCGGTGAGCCAAGGGAGGACCAGTATAGATCAGAAGAAAGTGTTAATCCAAGATACTTCACCCCAGACTTGATTTCTATATCACTATAATCAATTTTGCAACGGCCATAGGAACTAGCAGCTTCATCGGAAACTGAGATTAACAGTATGAAATTTAGGAGGATTTAATTTTTGACCAGTAGACAAAGACGACTCACGGACTCCTGAGAGGAAGCTGTTAATCTTAGTGCAATCCTCCCGAGAGTTAACAGACATTGAAATAGTTAGATCGTCCGCATACCTGACAAAGTTCATCTCATTAGAGTGAGGCAAGTCACGTAAGAAGAAAGAAAACAGAAAAGGAGAAAGGACAACACCTTGAGGGAAACCAGCTTCCCTATGCAATGCAGTGGACGACTTCCCCTGATATACGGTGCACTGATTTCTTCCTAAGAAATAAAGATGCAGCCATTTGGCAACCCAACGGTCAGTTTGAGTTTCAGCAGGCCTGTTTAACAAAATATCCGTAGGTACTAAGTCTGGAGCACATGTGTAATCTAGGAAGGCGCAGCCAACAAATTCAGCCCCCTTGTCTAAACTGGAGACAGTGTAATGATGCGAAATTGTGGCTGCATCCACAGCACTTCTACTATGTTTGTAGGCGAATTGTTTGGGACCGTCAAAGACTTTAAGTGAAGGTTGAAGATTAGGTAAGAGTGACTTTCCCATAGTTTTTAGAAAAAGAGAGGTAATAGCAATAGGCTTAAATTTAAAGCACGTTTCAGTAGATGTCTTAAGTATAGGCACACTTTCAATGTCCTTCCAAACGGCTGGCACGACATTTCTCGAAAAAGATTCAATAAATATGTCCATCACAGGATAACACAGGACGTCTGCATATTTTTTAAGAATAAGGCTATAAGAAGGCTTCAGTGACTGCAGACAGTTTAGGACAGCATTTGTATTTAAACCAGGGAAGCATGTACGCTGTTAACACTGTGCACATCTATTTAGAATTCAGACATGTTCAGCTTATATTTGATGGCTACTTTCCTAAATACTCAAACGTAATTACTGTAGGACTCACAAAGCTATGTTCGCTAGACATCACTAAGATTGTGGTTTAATTTCTAAGCTACACATTTACAATACTTCCTTTAATGTAGACGTATTTGGTGTGAAGTTGGTCTCCAAGTGATCTTGAGAGAATGACGCCTCAACAGTATGGATGTTTCAGAGTTTCTCTTGAAATTCACGTATAATCCTCTAATAATGGAAAATATATGAGGCATATTTATGCATCCAGCATTAGTATAAAATCCAGCTGTGGACTCTAAATACTTTTATTTGGACAGGAATTTTACTTAGCATTAATAGAATCAGTGTGTTCATATTGTGTACTAATTTATAAGATTATCTTTTACAACTTTCTGTTGTGCTTTATTTTTAGGTATATGGATGTTGTCGAATATGAAATCAACGGAAATGTCGATCGGTCAAAGTAACGCTGATACCCTTCATCAGAAGTTTCTTTTGTAAATTGATGAAATGATTAGTTTACTCTTAACCTCTACTCTTTCCGGACTTCTTCAGCGCGTTGCTACACTATGGGCTCTTGTAATACGCGAATTCGGATTAACACGTGTCTAGCTCAGTTAGTGAGATAAAGATTTGCTATAGTATAACAAGACCGTTACTCTAGTCATTCATAGGTTAAGTATGTTCTTCGAAAACTTTGCCATTAACAGCTCTGATCGTGACCTCTTCACCAGATTGACTCGTTGGTTGTTGCATGCGATAAACATGAAGGTGAAAGACACTGTTTTTCCAGATTTCTACACATTACGTACCCAATTGAGCTAGCAACAATGGTGGCAACCTACAAATGAACTGGAAACAACGGCTTCTGCCACCCAAACACGCTCATGCCAATAATTTCCAGAACTTCTACACAGTACTATTTCATAAACAGCTGAAAAACAACCAAAACACTGAAACCACACATGAATGCAACATGTGAAACAATTACGATGAAATGGATGAACTTAACTGGTGGCAGCAACTTTCGAAACAAACAAACTAATGCTAAACGACGACGATAAGAAATGTAAATTTTCTGACCTCTTACAATGGCGAAGGTGCGTTGGTGGCACAGCGGTTAGGATGCTCGCTGACCATGCATATGGTCCGAGGTTCAATCCCCGGCCGACGCACGCCTGATATCAATGGTCAACCTGCTAAATTTGGGCTACCGATATCGTATGCCGACAACCACGGGATGAAAACGAAACGAAGTCCATTTTCCCGCTCAACCTGGAGGACAATTGTACAATTCAATAACTATACAGCCTAGTTCTGACAATGTGTATTTATATATATATCAAATATTTAACTGTTGAAACATTATTAACTTGTAGACAATCTACGATTTGATATTATATCATACTTGATCGTGCCTGTAAAAATGGCATGCATTTTCATGTAAATTTATATGTTTATATGAGAATATACATTATTATTATTATTATATGCTGAAAATTCCATACTTGTACCGAAATACTGTGTGGAATCAAGCCATAATCAGAATAAAAAATAAACCTCCTCTGATTGCCCTAGACTGTGTAGTATTCCTAACACTGTCTCATACATGAAGCGAGGGGTTGGCTGTCTGTGTGTAACATCTAAATTGAAGTCTAAACTTCTTTTAAGGTCTCAGGTTTTCATACAGAAGTATTTACCAATGACGTTTCCTGCTCACTTTATTGCTCATATTTAGATCAAGTTACATAACTTTCTGACTTCGTTTAAAAAATTCCACCACGACAGTTTTAATGTCAAATAGTGCACGGTTACCCTTATTCGTAAAGCTAAGTAGTTTTCGAAACAGAAAATGTATCCTGTGTATAATACTGTGTTAAGTTTGACAGAATGTTTGAAGAGAAGGATATAAAAAAGCTTCCAAAGCGGAAAAATCATAAAATGCACTTCTAGACTTTATAAACACCTTTTGTAGTGAGTGAGAACTTTTCACGTACATACCAATTATTAAAACCACTAATCAATGCTACAGTATCGATTCCAAGAGGCAAACGTTCCACAAATTCCAAGTTCATTACTCACCTCGGATAATCAGTCGAGGAGACTTACGCGATGCATAGGACGTGTATTCAGACAGATGATCAGAAAAACTGAGTGAAAGCATAGTATGCAAAATACACATTGATATTACCATCGGTTAAAATAGATAATTTCCATTTGTTTCCTGTCAGCTTGACTGTCAGTCCTGCTCGTTCAAAAGATGCTAGAGGGGTGGCATTTATCCGCTAGTCATTTTGTTGACACAATATGCGCATCTCTTGCAGTTGAGCCTTTCCTTTGCGTTTCGAAACTGTTTGCGTTGAATTAATGGCGGACGCCTGAGCTAGTAACAGAGGTGGTGATTACGAGTATCGCTTGTCATCCACCAACTACATGCCAAGTCTGTTTGATCAAGAACTCACAAAGAGGAGCGGGAGAAGTAAATTCATCCAAAGAAATAATTAAAATATACATGAAACAAAGAAATAAAGAATACTAATGTAGGCGTTGTAAAAGATAAATGCACTAGTTATCCGTCTGTCTATCTCTTAGGCCACTTTGACCATTCTATTTCCTAGAAAAGATATCCGCCTACATACTATACACCAAGCATTAGATTTCCAAATCTGAAGGACTTTGTGGTGTCTAATGACGACTACAACTGACCTATAGATGGAAGTCTCCTGTTCACTGCTTCTTCTCAACTAATACTTGTGTTCGCCTTTGATCGCTTGGAAGTGATTCTGTTTGTATTCTCTGGAGAGTGAAGAAACATTTTTTATCTGCATACCCAGGTGACCTTTTCTCTGATGCTTCTATTGGGGACCCATCAGTGCGTTCACACATCGGTCCGCTCCATTTTCGGGCCATAACCGGTA